TGCCGGTCGTACATTAGCATATAAAGGAACAAAAAGAATTGAGTCTGTAGTACAATCTAAAACGGCAATCACGCATAGCTATACTATAAAACCTACTATTTCAGCTGATGGTATGTTATTATTGCTATTTTTTATTGTATTGAAAGAAGTTAGTGGAACATTTGGTCCTAGAGTGCAAGAAACAATGTTCATGGCACCTAATATTTTTGTTAGAGCTTCGAAATCCGAGAAATTAACGTCAGATCATTTTAAAATTTGGTTGCAAAACGTATTTTTTCCAAACGTAGGACCAAAGTCCGTCTTCCTATTAAATTCATGGACTGGTCATTGTCCAAATATTATACAAGAAACTAAATTAGAATGTACAGAAACAATAATTCTATTAACTATAACGGCTGGAACAACAGGAAACATACAACCATTAGATGTATATGGTTTTCGTTTGTAAAAAAATTTCATTAAACACTTTTCAAATATTGTAATGCTTTTGGATCTAGAAATAAATCTTCACGCAAGAAACAATATTTTAAAATTACAATCATTAACTCATGGTCAGTTTTCATCGCCTAGATTTAAAAATTTATTTCGATACGCATGGTATAAAAGCGGGTACGTGGAAAATAAACCAGAAGAATTTGAAACACCAGTAGAATATTGTTTCAAAAATCAGTTAAAATTGACATGTGATATTTCTGGCTCAACTGCAATAATTACTTGCGCATGGTGCAAAANATCGCTTTGCATAAATCATTTCTTTCATAAACAGCACCTTTGTGATACTTATGTATATCCATAAATTCACTTAATATTTTTAATATATGTTTTTTCTATACATGTTAACTTTTGAATATATGTTTATGTTACTATATTATGTAATGGTTAAATATTATATGTTATAGTTATATATTATGTTGTATGTGCTTGAAACTAGAGTTTTACTTCCCGGGAACAAATGATAGAGATCTGAACAGACATGATCAGATCTCATTAGATCTGATCCGCTCAGATCTGGTTTGATCAAANAATTGGCCCTATCTGATCAGATCTCATCAGACATAAGTAGATCCGATTTTATTATTGCCAATCAGACATGAGTAGATCTAATTCTATTATTGCCACCATTATAAACAAAACACTGTAATTATAAGGTTTTTTCGGATTGTATAAATTGTTTTTGGATTCTATATATATATATATATATACATATACATATATGTATGTATGATATATATACATGCATATATACATATATATACACACACACACACATGAGGAAACATGACAACATATACCGCATTAATTAATATGATTTCATGAGAAAATTAATTCCAAGAAATAAAAAGTGTTATTACAAATAATTACACTTATCATATAGTAATGTATAGAATAACAATTTAATAGGAACAATTTAATAGAATTCGAAAAAACCTTATAATACAGTTTTTTGTAATGGTAGCTGTTTGTCATAATCGGTAGTAATACAATGAGGTAGTTACAGTAGTTGTAAATAGTTGTAAATTAGTTGTAAATTTATTTTTTATAGCCAAACATTTTGAATATATATATGTATATACATATATTTACATATATATACATACAAGTAATACACATATTTATTATATATTAACTTATACTGTAATATATATCCCGGAAAAAAATGGATTAAATCTAAGATCTAATTTAAATCTACGAGATAAAAAAAATGGAAAAAGATCTAAGTAGATATAAAGTAAATCTAATGATAAATAAAAGTGTAAATTTACANAAATTTACTTATATTTATTTAGATCTACTTTATATTTATTTAAATCTCATTAGATCCAATATAGNTCTAATTGGATCTACTTTTTCATTTTTTTTTATTTCGTTAGATTTAAAGTGGACCTACTAAGATTTAATCCATTTTTTCACGGGATGTTATACGGTACATGTTTATACGGTATGTTATCATTTAATATCACAAACATAAAAAAAAAATTTGAAATCGAAATAGCTAAATCATACAACACTAAATAAAGACTATATCATATAATAAAAGTTAAACAAAATCAAAAAGAGTTTTAAAACAACAAGACATATTTGGCATAAAATGTCTTTGGCGTGATTAAANCGAAAATAAAAAAATACTGGAGTATACTCTATAGCTTTTATAAGTATAAAAAAATATTGAAAATGTAATATATAGTTAATAATATAAAAATTAATTATTTTTTTTAATTAACATCATTTTTTGCTGCTTGTCTCTTCAGTTCGCCGACCTTCTGCGTCATTGCTTGTTTGATTTCTTTTATACTCTGCTCAGGCCAATGTTTCTTTCTGGAACTTAATTGAAAAATCTATAAATTATAAAACAACCTTTCATATAAAACTTATATTTTTCCTAAGTTTGAAAACATTTTTCAAATATCATACTTTTATATTGTTATATAGATATAAAATTATTTACACACCAATTATGGCGTCTTTTGCAATGCCGTGTAGGCAGTTTACTTGTATCGGCGGATTTTGTCGTTTTGTCACTCTGGGACTTTGACCTTTTAACGTTGAATTTACAATTGCCTCGGGTTTAAAAACCGCAGGTATTAATTGCCGAGCAANATGCGATGCTTTTTTTGCCGTTGAAAGAGCAGCTTCTAGCATTCGTTTTTTGCAATAAATACCGGTTTTTAATACAACCATCTAGATAATAAAAAGGTATTTATGTTATATTAAAGAGTACTCTTTTTAATTTCTTGCGAGTAAAATAAGAAATTGTAGTAAACAATTTTAAATAACGAAATTGACGATACCGATCGAAAGCAGATTGAAAACAGCCTGTAGTGCTTAATAATAATTCTCGAGATAAATTTACAAACATTTACAAATTCTCTACAACTGCGCGCTGCATGTTTTGTCGACTGAAAATCACAGCTGTTAAGTATGTAGAACTAGAAATGTAATATCACAAAATCAAATTGCTAATTAATTTAATCAGGATGGGGAAGATTGTAGAGATGCTTGTAAGCATAAGAAATGATTAAAGTAAGTAGCAATTTAATTTTGTGATATTATATTTCTACTTAACAGCTTTGTTTTAAAGTTTGACGAAACATGCGGCGCGCAATTGTGGAAAACTTGTAAATATTTGTAAATTTACTTAGACAATTATTATTGAGCACTAAGATCTGATTTCGATCGGTAATCGCCAATTTAGTTATTTAAATTTGTTCTATATACTTCCCAATCATATTATATTGGTTATATTGTAAAAAATTGTAGTGTTTTTCTAAAATTTCGGTCAGAATTTTCTTGTAATTTATGTCTCATAAAATATCAGAAAACTAATATGTATTCAAAAATATAAAAATATGAAATAGAAAATGCAACATGAAAAGCTTACATTATCGTTTGCCCAATCGGCGCCAAAAAGTTGTGCATCGTCGTAATAGTTTTCGACTTCATGATCGCTCATATTATTTGTGTTTTTAACAAGATGATCTTCTATTGACTCCTGTTTTTCCTCATCCTCACTTGCAACACTAGCAGTTTCATCATCCTCACTTGCAACGCTAACAGTTTCATTTTCTTTTACAAATTGTCGTTTCTGGGATTCGGTATTGTTATTGTTATATGCTATTAAAGAACATTTACATAAATGAAAAACTTTATCAACAAGTTTCTTTGTAAAATATTAACTTTTTTTGTAAAATATTATGCTTATATTTAATTCTTTCTGTATATAAAAACCCTTAATAAGTATTTCATCTCTTATAGAAGTATTTTTACTTTATCATAAAAACAAGCCAGCATACAAAATAATTTATATACTTATAATGTTCTAAGTAAACATGTTTATTAAAAAATATAAAAAAAAGAATATTTAAAAAAATTCGATAATATTCATGCGAATTAAGTATATAATATGTAAAACATACATTTTTTCTATCTTCAATTTTTATGAATTTGATGACATATATTCCAATTAAAATTCATTGTATACAATAAGAATTTTTGCAGAAAAATATTAAAAAAGATAAAATGCGTATTTCTGATGAAGAATGAAAATTTCTGATAAAAATTATACGAATCAAGTATAACAAACAAAAATGTTTGTTCCTTTAATTTGTTGTGAATATCATACAAAAAAACATTTTAAAATCTGCAGCTACTTATAGTTTTGGTATTTTTAATTAAGTTGTAATTTCCATGATTTAATCGTTGTACAAAGTTTTAAAGTCACAAAGAAAGAAAACAATAAATCTTTTAAAATTATATGTAGTTGAACAAAAGATATATTCTTTAAACATATAATGGAAAAGAAATTTAAAGTCTATAGAGAGAATATATTTCAATACATACGTAATGATGTAACTTCCAATGTGGATTGCAATTGTGTAATTTTATTGTTGGCGTTCTCTAACAACTTTATAAGTTCTTCCTTGGTAGGACTTTTCTTATCTTTTATCTCTTCGTCAGAGGAATACGTCGTCGAAAGACTTCGAGGCGAATTCATAGACTCGTCCAAATTCTGCATTTTTCTTTTCTTGTCACTTGTGACACTGTTTACAGTCTCTTCAATATTTTTAGTTTTTCTTTTCTGTTTATAGACAAACAATAATATTACTGTTATTAACAAAATATTAACAGTAATAATATTGATAATTGACAAATGATACATTTTAGCTGATTATAGAATCTAAGTGATTATAAGCAGTTATTATAATGTAGTTTATTATGTTCAGGATAATATTCTTGTTTAAATTAATTGTATTCATTATTTACAATTTTCCTACAAATTTGAACATTATTATTGCATTATCTTATTAACTTTATTTTCAAAAATTTTTATCTCTTTTGGTAGTTTTCAGTAACTTTTCGATTACGCTACAATGTCGTCGATTACACCATACGTCAACTAAGAAGAAATTATAGTTTATAGCGTTGACAAACCTGATAATTTAATTTATTATTTTTGGAGAATATAATAACATTATGAAAAATCAACGTTAATATACATTTATTTTAACCTTTACAGAATNGGAAATCACTATAGTTCCACTAAAACAGTCATAATTTAAAATAAAGACTACAATGAATTATAATAATACTCAAATCTTATTCAAGGAAAAGCTATAAGATTTTTGAAATAAATCTCCCGTTCTTTAAAGGTTAATGACAAATAAGAAATAATATATATGTCTTTACAAGAGGATTTATTGTTCTACTTTTTTCTCTTGTCGTCATTTGCCTTTTACTGACAAATTTGTCATCGCAGGGTTTCTTTATGTAGGATCCTTTACGGGTATGCTTTGATTTATTGCTCTTTTGTTTCATTTTATATTCTGTCTTATATGTCTTCAGTTCTTTTTCAATTGCATCTTGATCATCTATACATATAGAAAAGAAGTAAAACTGAAGAAATTCAATACAAGTTGTACATACTAAATTTTAAAGGTTAAGTCAGGTATTAATATACTAGTTATCAAATTAGAAACAGAATTAATACAAACCAAAACGAACCTGTAAACATAATGTCTCCAGTATATTGTTTTTTATTGTAATAGAACCGAACAGTCTCTCCTTTCTTTACTGTTTCATAGTCAAAAATGACATCTTNGTCATTTACTATGCAATATGACTCGTCTTCATAGCATTTTAAAAGAAACATTATTTCATCCAAAAGATATAAAAAAACACAAACACAATCTCGGAATCCGTAATTATTTACAACGAAAAAAGGTATATGTATAACCAGAAATCTTGGTGTGATTTCAATATATGTACCACAAAATGCACGAGATACAAGCGGAAACGCGAAAACGATTCAATTTAGGGTGCGTTCGTGGAGCGCGCTATCTGCGCTATTGCATCATTCTATCTTTATCGTTTGTTAAATCTAAAACAAAGATAGAATGAGACAATAGCGCGGAAAGCGCGCTCTTCNAACGCAGCCTTAGCTGCACTCAGTGCGCACTATATAGTGCAGCCAATCGAATTCGCTGACAGAAAACTGCGTGTTTTGTGCGCTTGAGCTGCCTCATGTTTCTAACGCTATAAACAACCAGTCGGTTACATATAAATACAAAAACAGACAAAGTGACAATTTTGACAAATTTTGGACAATTTCCGCTATGTACATATATATATATACAAAGTGTCTTATTTTAATTCAAACAGTCAATTTTAGAAAATAAATTCAGCAACNTTATGTCTTCCTTGAAAAGTAATGTCATAAAACTTTTGTAAGAAACTTCTTTCTAAAATTTCCGGTAATTTCCAGAATTGACGANGATGTCATTTTAAAATAGGACTCTATGCGTAATACATATTCACAAGATGTCTCTTTCCCAAATGTTTCAAATGTTGCTGCATAACTGTTGTTAACTATTATAATCTCCACTGATATCAAAGTAAAATAAACATTTAAATGCAAAAATATATCTGTTATTTTTATGTTTTTGTTTTTGTTATGAGACATATTTGTTTTATTTTGTTATAAGACGTATTCTATTCATAATGCACATTTTTAATTATTTTTCTTCTTATTTAATTCATAGTGTAGTAATAATAATATTATGATATATATTTTTCTCTTAGATTTGTTGTTTGTCATTTGAGCCATTGATAGGCCAAATTAACTCCACTTTTTTATTTTTTTCAAAGTTTAGTGCCAAAGCAATTGATTAATGATTAACTTTTTATATTTAAAATAAATTTCCTTAATAATTGGACTTAATATTACGAAATAACAAAATGTTTTTGCCGTAGAATAATAGACAATTTATTGTAAAAAAATAACAATTATTTCAAGGATATACTATTTTATGCATTTTATATGTCGTTAGATAAAAGCTACGTCTGTACTAATACAGTCTACAATGTTTATTTAAATTTTAAAGGGAATTTTAAAAATGATGTATTTCAATTTCCCCAATTTCTCGTTTTATAGAGTTANTCAATTTGGCAAATGAGCAGCTCATTTATCATGTCTGACGATAGTTATAATGACAATGATTATCAACCTAGAAAAAAATATAAAACATGGCAGATGGACCAAAGCATTCCGGTACGTGATATATGTGGAAAAACAATATATATTGGGTGAAACTACTAAGAAATATTAATTACAAAAATTACAATTTATTTCATATTTCTCATAGGTTCCCTTGAGGACAATATCAAGATATTCAAATTTGTCTTATTTAAGTACGGATACTATTGAAGAAAATGCAGGACTCTTACAAGAATCAAGTTGTGAAAACATTGACATCAGTAATACCAATGACGAAATAAATAACGATATTGTGTTAGAAAATTGCGTAATCAGCAATGACGATGATGATAGCAGTGTTACTTGGACCAGATAATGAGAATGATCAAGAGATANTTTTTGAACATGATAAATTTTCCACTTGTGCTTCGATGAGTAGTTCTGATAGCGGTGATATTACTCAGAATTACAGTGATAGTGATGATGACACTGAACTTCGAGTCGATGATTTATGAAAATAGTAGACAAACAACGGATGAAGCGGTTCTATCAGTTCTGCAATTATATATAAAACATAAATTGACCAAAAACGCTTTGAAAGATACATTAAAAACAATTTGTGACATGCTTCCGGTACCTAATAATATGCCTACAACTGTTTTTCAATTATTCAAATATATCACAAATTTAGCTCCTCCATGTGCTATCATAAAACACTATTATTGTAAAAACTGTCAGATATGTTATGATGATAAAACAGAGCATTCAATCCAAAAATGTCGAACGTCTACTGAGTGTCTACTGAGTGATGGAAATACTGCTGGTGTTTTTTATGAGCTGGATGCCGTGAATCAGATAAAATATTTGTTTGAACATAGGAATTTATATAGAATTGTACAACAACATAAACCTCGTGATTCTAATATAATTACTGACATCACTGATGGCTCAGAATATTTGAGAGTTAATTATTCAGAAGCACACAAAACAGGATTATACGATTTAACATTGATACTGAACACAGATGGTCTATGTCTGAAGNAAAGTTCCACTGGAAACTGTTGGCCATTAATGTTTACGATTGCTGAGATTCCAAAGAATTTGAGAAANAATTTTGTGATCATTATTGGAATATGGTATGATAATCATAAGCCTTCAATGAACTCGTTTCTTCAACCCTACTGTAAAAAATTTAAAACCTGTTTTGACAAAGGTGTGAATTGGATTCATCCAATAAATAAAACACAACATAAATCTAAAGTTGTTGTTCCATTAATAGTAGCTGATGCTCCAGCTAAGGCGCAAATACAAAACAGTTTAAATTTCAATGGACGCTACGGTTGCAATCTTTGCAAAATAAAAACTCAAAATTGCAAAATATTACCAAACAAGAAACGTAAGCGTATATATCCGTTTGTTAATGAACAACAGATCATCCTTAGAAATAGCAAGAGAATGAGAGTTCAAGGAGAAAAAGTACAAACAAGAGCAGTAAATAATATTAGGGGTACAAAAGGAATTCCCATCATTTTGACTCTTCCTCTTATTGACATTAGCCCTTGTATGGTACCGGAGTGTATGCATTCTGTACTTCTCGGACCAGTAAAGCAATTCACGAATCTTTGGTTTGAATTAAATGGAGAATGGTGTGTGAAAAATTCATTAAACAATATTAACGAGTTTCTATTAAAAATTCGGCCTCCTGATTCTTTCAACCGAATGCCAAGATCGTTGTCTCTCTTGCACTTGTATAAAGCATCCGAGTGGTATGTTTGGCTTTTATTTTACTCTTTACCTACAATGGCCAAATATTTACCGGATAAATATGTTCAACATTGGCTTCTACTTTCAAAAGCTATTTACATTCTNCTTGGAGATAATATTTTAAGTAAGGATATCGAAGAAGCAGAAACTTTGCTTAGGCTATTCGTAAGCTTGATAGAAAAGCTTTATGGGGACAGACAGTTAACCTACAATGTTCATATGCTATTACATCTTGGACTTTGCGTGAAGAGATGGGGTCCCTTATGGGCTTGGTCGGCATTTCCTTTTGAGAACTTCAATGGATTTCTTTCACGCATTGTTCATAGTTCTAAGCACATCGGACAAGAATTAGTCAATAATATAATAATTGCTCAAGGCATTCAAGTACTAAAAAATAAAGTTACAAAACTTGCATTATCATCAGAAAGTATTCAACATTGTATTATTGGTAAACCTTTAAAAATTGTCCTTAATGACATTGAAATCAGAAGTGAGTTTTTAACATCTGCAGGTACAGTGGATCAACTGATACAAATCGAAGGGAATGATGTACTCATTTACGGTCAAGCAAGAATTTTTTCTGAAATTTATACATCCCAAAGATATACACTTTTAAAAACAAACAATTACAACGTTGAATTTAAGCTAAAAAATGCTGAATCAAAACAATATGGTTTCATTAGATTATTTTGTACAAAGCTCGACAATGTGTTTTTCATGTTCCGCCCTTTAACGGTAATTCATAAAAATATGTTTTATCATCGAAACACAAAGACAAATTAAATCATATTTTACCAATAAAAGAAGAAAATTATTTTTATATTGTTCAAATAAAAGATATTGATTATATGTATAAATTAGTACGAGTGGGAAATTACATATGTAAAACACTACATTCGATGACAACGATCATGTAAATAATAAAATGTATATATTATGATGTATTCCGTAATTTTTTTCGAATTGGTTTTATTCTAATAAATCTATATTATATGCCACTAATAGTAAAAAGTTATTCTGTGTAAAATTTCACTTGATTGTACTGATTTTCATGCCTTTTTGTAATTTTCGAAAAATATTTTTTTTNAAATAGTCTTAATAGTCTTATTTTACGTCAAAAATTAAATATATTTGAAGATATAAATTTTTAACATAAAATCTATTGTTAGAATTTCAAACAAAATATTTTTACCNACAATTTTTTATTTATACAATAGAAATTAAACAAGGCAGCACGTATTAATATTAACTGCAGACTGAAATTTTGCAAGTATTTTTTGGCTATATTAGTACCGATCTAAGGGTTAATTGGGAGGAAAATATTTCGACACTTACTTTTCCCATCTTAATAACGGACACCTTAATGTATATATGTTTATTGTATTGTGCGTTTTTTGTCTACTATAATATTTTTATGACTATAATTTTTATGTACATTATACCATATATTACCATTTCAGCTCTCCTTCACAGAATTATCATCTATATTTGATGTAATGTTTACCATGGATATGTAAAAA